CCGCGAGCCTCAAAGCCCCACCCAAACCCCTCGACTTCGAGGCTGACGCAACTCAGAGGCACAATGTCGCAAGACCTTAAAGTAAAGCCTGAACCCCTAAACCCTAAACCCTAAACTCAACATCCCCACACGCTGAATCCTAAACACTTCGTTGTGGGGCTCTCAGAGCCCCGGCGCTGAGGTACGGCACAGGGAAGCCGTGGCACGGGACGCTTCCGTGGAAGCACAAGAAGTCCCATCAGGCTTGCTGCAGCTAAGTAGAGGACTTAGGGCCATATAATTATCTACGCGTACATGTTCGGGGTCAAGGGCTTATGTGAGTTTAGGGGGGAAAAAGCAGCGCTTGCTTGCTGAGTCGGTGTTGAGACGTGCAAGGTCGGCGCGGGAACCCCCCAGGATCTCATGCCTCCTCCGATTCGTTTCCAAAACCCAAACAGCCTGAAACCAAACCGTAACTCCGAAAATCCTGGCAGCCACGCCAAACCCAAACCATGAATCGGTAAGCCCGACACGCAAAACCTCAACCTAGGCAAAACTCATAATGATAGCTACTGTTAGCACCAGGAGTCCAGAATGCTTCTTGGAGATTCAGTGTAATTGTGTCTATGCAGAACACTACTTCTGTCGTAGTTACAGCTCAGGCAACTACATTCCGCAGGGATGTAAGCAATTGTGCGAGAATTGCAGATACCTTCAGCCCTAAACCCTGAGCCCCAAACTCCAAAACCAAACGGCCTTGGTAGTAGACCACGAAGCCTAAGGCCTGAACCTTAAACCCACTACGTCCAAAGAAGCTCTACTATATGGGTCGGCCTACTTCTATTTTCCTGGATGCTCCACCCGTATACTTGTGTCATGCTATATACCCAAAACTCCGATTCTATTAAGGCCTTAATTCTCCCACCATATGTAAAGCAGGCGCCACCTCCAAAGCCTCGGCCTCTTTCGGCCAAGCTTCAGCCACCAACGCCGGATGCAGGCCGGAAAGAGAAAGATCTAGGGATTTCGGGGTATGGGCCTTTTTCAGGGCGCTGCAGTGAGGGGTTCAGGTTGAATCTATGGAATCTATAGGTTGGGGGTGTTGAAGTTGCTTATGCGGTTTCTTAGGGCTGAGCTTGGGTGCACCACCCTAAACCCTAAACCCAAGATACCCCCAAGCCCTTTCGGCTATTAGTGTTTGGCGCTGTAGATCTTGCGGCTCGAAAGGTGAAGGCAAGATCGGGCCTAAGCTTGGTGACGCTCGGAAGCCTCAAAGGAGCCCTTATGGGGGCTCTTCGAGAAAGTTTTGTAAGCCCTCACGCCTTCAAGCCCTAGACCCTCCCTGAATAATGAGCCCAATATACTAATAAATGATCATAACACTCATAAGAATCATAAGAATCGTCATAGCAGCAAATAGAATAGTACCCTAAACCCTAAACACCCTAAACCCCAAACCGTGTATCATCAACCCTGGTACGGTCCACACCCCTCCCTTCCGCCCGTTGCAGGCTCCCGGACCGGTGGTGGTGTGGGGCTCCGGGATGCCGCGAACGTGCCGGGCCGGCTGCGGCCTTGGGTGCATGCTTCGGGCTTGTAGGAGTTACCTGTTGGGGTCGTTTAGGGTTTAGGGTTTAAGGGCTTAGGGGTTTAAGGGTTTAGAGGTTTGGGGTTTAGGGGTTAAGGGTTTAGGGGTTAAGGGTTTAGGGGTTTAGGGTTTAGGGTTTAGGGGTTTAGGGGTTGGGGGGTACCTGAAGAAGTTCCACGGGGGTCGGGGTTGCCTTAGAAATAACTTACAAGGGGTCTGCAAGGGTTTTCAAGAAGGCTCTAGGTTTGGGGCATAGAGTATTTCTTGGAGGGTTGTTCGGGTTTAGGAGTTTGGATTGGGCTTTTGGCTACAAGAGTTAGGGTTGAGGGCCCAGGACTCTTATTATATGTTCCTCTGTTTGGCGTTGAGGTCTAGCATCCCAAACCCTAGACTCTAGACCCTACACCCTAAACCCTACAACCCTAAGCCCTAAAACCCTAAACCCTAGACTCTAGACCCTAAGCCCTACGCCCTAAACCCGTCTTTGGTTTCGAGCTTTTGTAAGTTGGGCTTCCGGCTGAGTTCGCTCCAAGGGCCCCTCGGGCCCGAAGCCTGGAGTGGGCCCTTAAACCCCACACCCCCCAAAAATAGATATAGATATAGATATAGATTTCAGATATAGGCTCCTACAGATGTAGGTATAGATATCGATATACAGAAATTGAACCCAAACTCAAGATCCCTAACCCTGGAACCTGGAGGAATCAGACTTTCGGGGTTGCGTCTCGAGCCCGAAGCGCCCAACACCCGAGGTTCGACCTTAGCCTCCGTGCCGCTGCAACACAGGCGTTCTGAGTCACAGCTTAAGGGTTTAGGGGTTTAGGGTTTAGGGTTTTAGGTTTAGGGTTTAGGGTTTAGGGTTTAGGGGTCGGGTTTGGGGTTTAGGGTTTTAGGGTTTAGGCTTTAGGGTTTAGGGGGTCGGGTTTGGGGGTTTAGGGGTGGGGTTTAGGCCTGAGGTTTTTATGGATCGGGCCCCTCCCCCTACCCTTAAACTCCACAAGAAAGCTGCGATGCAAAATCCCGAAGCGGCGAACTCCACCACGCTTCCGCTCCGGTCAACAAGCTGACCTGTGGCTCAAAATCTCGACGGTAAAACTAACGTGGGGTTTGAATGAATAGAGGTGCAAGAAGAAATATCCCCTTACATACCAATCTCTACTTCATTCTACACTGCTCTGCTCCACCATACTCTACTCTACTCTATGATCTCATTAGACAAACCAATGCAAATTCAATACCAACGCTACTGCTGATACTAATAACTCATACTGATGTTGAGACTGATGTTCATACTCATATTCCAACTCACACTCAAGTCCATACTCAGGCTCACACTCACACTCATACTCATACTAAATACTTAATATACTTAATGCTTAATACCTAATACTTATTACTTAGTATTCAGTACTTCATACTTGGTTTATGCGAATATTAAGTTTTATACGGACACAAGTACTAATGCCAATACTCGTGCTAATGCTAAGACCAATACACTGATACCCATACTGTCCCGTACCCTGACACCCTGTTCCAATTCCGAAGGCCACTCCACGAAACCCCAGGGGTCGTAGCCAACGTCAGACCCTGAGCCCTGAGCTTTCCGAACAAGGAGGAAGGGTCAGAGACCACCTAAGGCCAAGTAAGTGAGTGGGCTATTCGCCGAGCTTTTAGGGTACTATGTTACACTTTCGCAAAAAAGCTTACAGCAGCAGGCAGTGGCCGATTGTAGTTATTTCTGCCTTTCTCTGTAACACCTGAGCCCGGCAGCCAGGGCCCAGGCGGTGCACCACCGCAGCCGGTGCCGAAGACGCCGCAGCCACCGCCAACGCCTCCAAGCCTGACCCCGAAGCCTGAGCCCCAAAACGGGTTCAGGCTTTCCAGAAGTTAAGGCGTAATAGGGTGGACTTCGAGCCCGCTGGGAGTACTTTCAGGGCCCTGTCTTCTCCTACGATTCTGCTTGAAGTCGTCAGCCTGATGATGAGGATGATGATGAGGATGAGGAGAATGATGACGACGACGATGATGATTATGCTGACGCATGACAATGACTATGATTAGGAGTGAGATTCGGATCGTGATTATGGTACCGGCAATGGTTGTGGTTGCGATGGTGGTGACAATCATGGCGATGCCGCCGCCGATGATTCCGTTGATGACCATGGAGAAACCGAGACAAAGACAATTAAGGGAAACGATGATTCGAGGGTGTTGACGATGACGATGACGCTGACTATGAGTATTACACATTGTCCCACCATGTAGGCCCGAGGCATCAATTCAACAGGTTTCCTGAATATGCCCCATGTCTGCCGAAGGTGCTCCATTTCCGGGTTTGGGGCCTCTCACACATGCGAAGCCTTGCAAGCCCGCACGGTTGCGTTGTAGCCGCTCCCAGGCAGGATGACACAGACGTCGACGCCGTTGATGCTGCCTGCGGCTTGGAAGCCACGCGTCAGTGCATTTGGGAAAGCTGCAGTGTAACGGTGGAGGATTTAGGGCTGATGCCGAGCTTTCCGTTCCTTCCGGGCTGCAAGATTTCGCTTCATAGGAGTAGCCACTACCGACCTTCACAGCTTCAACAAAGTTTTCTGCTCCTTCAGGAAGACATTGCCTGGTGTAGATGCACGCTATTCTGTCCGCTCTGTTTGAGCATGCTGTGCTTTCAAGGCTTCAGCCAACCATCAAGATCAAACACCAAAATCTTGAAAGGCAAGACGTCCGCAACTTCAACTCTCGCGTAAGTCCCCTGCGGAGGCATCTGTGGAAGCATCGGAGGATGGCTCTCAGGCGGCGTTGTCCTTCGATCGGCTCATAAAGAGGTCGGAAGAAATCGTCACGACATCCCCTTGTCCTTATCCTAAACCCTACATCCCCAAACCGTGCGTTGAATGAATGTGTGTGTGTGTGTGTTTTCGAAGAAACACACATAGTCCCTATCCTAAACCCTAAACCCCAAACCTTATGCTAAACCTCAACAGCCCCTTCTAGTCATTAAGGCCCCTTGTTGTTGGGTCCATGCCTGCCATGTGGCAGCGCATGCAACAAGAACTTAGGACGAGTGCTGCGCCTGTCATTGACATGAGAGTTCCAGAAGAACAGGGAGCCGATTCCAAACCCTAAGTAGCTGGAACCCCTTCGCTTCTAAGACTCAACAACGTTGGGCACGCCCATTTCTTTAACAACCGCATTTGGTTCTTATTGTGGCAAACCATCGGCAACCGCAAAGATATCACTAGTGTTGTGTCGGAGCTGTGCAGAAAAAGGAATTTGCGGGCAGCCAGTTGCCGGCTTGCAACATTGACCTGATCGGTTTGTGTTTTCTTCTGGTTTGCAGACCATGACAACGACCTGTTCAGTAGTCTGCTGACTAGGCTTTGGCTCCAGATCGGTCATGCTGGTCTTCCTTGCATGCTGGGACAGGCAGCTGATCATGCGAGCTGCGCCGTCGAAAGCGCTGAGGCACAGTCTGAAAGGACGATCCCAAGTTTCATTTCGTCGCTTCGTTGTGTATTGGGTGAAGTGGGAAAGAGGTCGGGAAAGAAGGCGCGGGATGAAGTCGCAGTCATGACTGCAGGTCGAAGATGCTGCAAGAAGGACAAGTTCGCATGAGGCATCCGACTGTGATTGCCTGCCTTGGCAGATGAGCAGAACTTGCAGCATCCCGTGCAGGTGCCTGCCGCTTCAAGGACGTCTGAGGCAGCACCTGAAGGTAACGGCGAAGCCCTGCCATCGGAGCCACAAGTGGAGCCCGCGGCTGCGGCGGATGAGCGAGCCGAAGGACCAGGCGACGTTCCCCATCCCATCACCCCTTCAGGGCCGCTTGCAGAGGAAGGTGCTGTCGTCACAGCCACGGAGCCGGAACCGGTTGCGGATCCACCTGAGACCACAGATGCAAGCCGAGAGCAGGAGGGCTCTCCTGAGCAACTCCGGCCTGCAGAGGAGTTAGAGCCACAGGAGATAGAAGTTCCGCGCGAGCCACAAGTGCCACAGGAACCTCTGGAAGCTGTGAGCACAGCTGAGGAGACGGCGCCGCCTCCACCTGCAACTGCAGAGCCACACGAGCCACACGAGCCGCCAGAGCCGCCAGAGCCGCCAGAGGCCCCTGCCGCTGCCGCAGCTCCACGAGAGACCACGGGGGAGGCCGAGGGGACAGAGGGGGCCGAGTCTTCGAAGGCTCAGGAGCTGCCGTTTCTTCCCAGCGATGCGGCCGAAGCCGGGAAGAAGGCCCTCGCGCCCCACTGGTCGCAGCGAGGTGGGGATCTGTCAAAGATAGGGCCACGGACAGGAGAAAACCTGAACGGGAGACCACCGAGCTGTGAGAAGCCGCCATGAGCCACCATAGAATCGCATGAGAACCTTCCAACGCCCAGGTGGGAAGTGGCAGACGCGGGGGTCGAGGCTCAGCAGTGACGAGGAGGGTGAGCTCGATGATGACGAGGAGGCGCCGCGACACCGACAGAGAGAACAAGATGAGCGACAGCAATTCCGGGAACAGCAGCAACTAGGCCAGCTGCCAAGCAAGATGCCATGATGAACAACAAGAGCGACGACGACCAGGAGGAAGGCGAGGACGAGGACAAGGAGGAGCAGAAGCAGCAGGAGGAGGAGGAGACAGCAGGGGAGGAGGAGGATGCTAGAAGCATTTCAACCATCACTTTTAGTCAGAAGCATGCCCTCATGCTCACGGTCCGTCTGCCGGTAGCTGGAATGGCCATCATATCGTCGTGGTCTCAAGATTGCAGGTTGTTCGTGCTTGCCGTACTCATCGACATCACAACCGCTACGAACGAGTGGCAAACGATTCAACTACTAAACAAAGCGGGTGTGAGTGTGATCTGTCATTTTCATGATGCGCTTTCAATCTTCCATGCGTGGGGACGAAGCTGTAAATTCCTGACCCGACCCTGCAATTGGCCATGAAGCTCTGCTTGCGGAAGGCACAGCGCCGGAAGATCGAACGGGCGCAGCGCGCAGCAGAGCGGCGTGCCAAATCCGGCAAATTGAAGGCCGTAGAGAAGCGTAGAGTTTAAGGGTTTAGGGGAGTATGGACTGCTGAAGATGGCTATGAGAAAGATAAGGACGAAGCCATATATGACTTTCAGGCAATTAACATCATGGCACGTGATCGTAGTAGCCCGTGGTGCTCGTCAGCAGTAGTCGTAATAGTCGTAGTAGTCGTCTTATTATTATTATTATTAGTAGCAGTAGTACTAGTAGTAGCAGTAGTAGTAGGAGTAGTGGTAGGAGTAGTAGTAGTCGTCGTCGTCGCCGTCGTAGTAGTAGTAGTAGTAGTAGTAGAAGAAGAAGTAGTAGTACTAGTAGTAGTAGTAGTAGTAGTAGTAGTAGTAGTAGTAGTAGTGGTGAAGTTTCGAAGTACGTCCCTAAAGGACGCCGTGGCGCGATTCCAGTCGGATGAGGACCGGCATTTATGGTTGGTTGCTGTTTTGGGTTTCAGTTTTCGATTTCTGGATCCCTTTGGCGCTTCTTCAAAGTAGGTGCAGTGGCGAATGAGACGGCTTCTCTAAGCGCGTGTTCATGCTCCAACATGCTCCGCAACCCGAACCCTCTACACCGACTTCCAGCCCCATGAGCCGCAAGTAGGCCCAGAATCTGAAGGAATTCAGCCTTCAATCCGAAAGCCTTTCGACCTCAAATCCAGAAGCCCCAGCCCGATCCAACACCCTTTTATAAACCCCCCCGAAGCCTTAAATTCCTAGACCCTGAACCCCAAATCTCAAAACCCCCAAGGCCCAAAACCCCAAACTTCAACACTCATAGACCCAATCCGCATCACAACCGCTACTCACTAAACCCTGCACCTTCCCCCGAAATCTCTAAACGAACATGTAACAACAGAGAGCCCTGAGCAATCTCTACGCCCGAGCCTTCAGACCCCAAATCTCCCAAACTCTGAATCCGCAAGCCATCGCAAGGTGGAAAAACCGGGACCCTATAAAACTAAAATAACCCTGAAAAGAACACAACCTTTATGGCGTTGCAATATAAGCCCTATAGAGCCCCTTCACAGAACGCCAAGAAATCCTTATGTGATCCTTCTAGACCCGTATGGAGCGCCATGTAAAACCACCTCTCATCTCCTGGTGAAGGAGAGCCAGGGCCCAGCAGGACCCCGGCTTTCGCCCCGTAGTGCCGCTGCCTCAAGGGCTTTGTAAGGCTTTGGCTCGATTGCGGTGCTCTGGCGTGGGCTTGCTTTGAGGGTTCAGAAACCCTAAACCCTAAACCCTAAACGAGACTTGTGCGGTTTGGGGACTTTGGGGATTTGGGGTTCAGGCATGGGAGACAGGAAGTCGCTTCCAGGTCTCAGCGGTGCCTGTCTTACCCAACCCTACGGCCCTAGGCATGGATTACGGAGTAGTTCCTGCCTGTTCTTCCAAAAGCTCTTCCCTTTCGGAGGGTCGGGGGTCTCTTAACCCTTGCACCTTTGTTGCTTCAACATCACCCTCACCGCTTCAAGATCCCTTCCAACACCAACGAAGCCCTTGGCGGAAGCAAGCGAAGTCTTCGCCAGGATTCTACATTTCCCGCTTGAGACCTGTAGAGCCCGCCAAAGCCGCTTTAAAGCCTCGCAAGGCCCGGAAGGCCATGAGAAGACCTCAGAACTCCCTGAAAGTCCACAACCCTTGTACCTGAAAGTATCCTTACCCTTAAGGGTCGGCGCATGTTATTTTCCCTGGCGTTGCCGTGTGGTTTTTGCACATACAGGGTCTTATCGTGTGTGTTTCTTGCAGATAGAGAGCGTTGTCGAGTGTTTTGTCGTGTGTTTTTGGCGTTTTAGTGTGTGTTGTCCTGCGTTCTTTTGCACATGCAGTCCAGCCGCCTCTCCCACAGACCATCATGCTGCAGAGCATCCATGTCCCAACCATGATAACGTCCACCCAGACCCCATCCGTTTTCGCAGAGCATGCATGTCCCAACCACGAAAACGTCCATCCAGACCCCATCCGCTGGGCAAGTTCTGCTCTTCTTCAAGCAAGGTTTAGGCCTCCCCAAGCCCTAAGCCCTGAACCCTCTAATAATAACAACGATAACAATTAGTTTCGTTATCCTGTCGGGCAGGGTCATTTTGGATGCATCGGTCTCGTCGGCGCTTGAAGTTGCATGGATGTTGACCTCTGGAAGGATTAGTTTTTTAAGGCCCCCCAACTAGCTTATAATCAAACGTCCCACGCCTGCCACGTGAAGTGAACTGTACTGTAACGAAGCCCACATCCCCAGTGAAACACAGCGCGTCAACCTTATAGTACCCTCATAGTACCTGTCGTACCCTCAAAGTACCCTTATAGTACCCCTGTAGAGCCCTTAAAGTACCCTTTGTAGTACCCTAATTAGAGCCCTTATAGTACCCTTACGTTATCTTCCTTCTAGAGCCCTTACTGCACCCTTACATTACCCTCCTGATGGAGCCCTTATGGTACCTTGAGGCACCCTTGCCCCTAAACCCTAGCCCCTAAACCCTAAACCCTTATGGCCCCTTAAAGCACCCTTACCCCTAAACCCTAAACCCTAAACCCTTACCCCTGAACCCTAAACCCTAAACCCCTAAACCCTAAAACCCTTATGGCCCCATAAAGCACCCTTTACCGAGCTTCCCAGGCGACGCTCTTTCGCCTGGCCGGGGAGCTCCAGACGGCGCCGGCCTCCGACGCGGCCACGCTGCTCGGGATCCTCCAGGTGCTGGGCCTAGGGTTTAGGGTTTGTAGGGTGCTGGGTTTAGGGTTTAGGGTGTAGGGTTTAAGTTTAGGGTTTAGGGTTTCGGGTGTGTAGGGTTTAGGGTGTAGGGCACTATGAGGGTATTCCTATCTTCAGGGGTCTTGTGTTAAGTGTGCTATGAAGGCTATAAGGGTACTCTAAAGGGCCCTAGCAGGGCATCACAAGGGTACTATGAGGGTACGGTAGGGGTTCGGGTACTTTTAAGGTATAAGGGTGTAGGGTAGGGGCCTAGGGTATGGTTCCCATAAAAACCCTAAACCCCCAAATCCCTGCACCCCTATAGACCGTCTCAAGCCCTACACCCCCCCTAAACGCCCCCCGCGCTCTGAGAGCAGGAGCTGGAGCGCCTGCCGGCCACTGTCGAGCTCCTGAGGCCAGATCCCCCTTCGTTTCTTGGGCTTTAAGGGGGTTAGGGGAGGGTTCTGGGTTTTAGGGTTTAGGGTTTAGGGGGTTAGGGGAGGGTTCTGGGTTTTAGGATCGGAGTCGTATGAGCCGTTCATCGAGGCTTTTCGGGCTCTGATGAAAGACGCCCTGTGGAAGGAGGCTTTCAGGGGTTATGGCGCGGGGAGAGGGGAGGGTGGGTGGGTGGGTGGGGCAAGACTGTGGGGCTGTTGTGTAAAGGTTTCTTACTTGTTGGATGGGATTGCTAGGGATGAGAGTTAGACCAGGGTTACGGCTGGAATACGCTTCTCCTTAGCTATGACAGTGAGTTCTAGCTGTTTCAACAAAGTTCTTGGACATTAGGTTCCAAGGTGAAGGTTCCATCTAGAATCCAGCATGAATTAAATCAATAAGGTTCAGCGCTTGAGGTTTGAAAGCTATCTGGCTGGTGACCGTTGCTCAGTTTCTGGGGGTGTCCAGCAGCTTCAGAGGCTTGGAGCTGGGACCTGGACGTGAAGTAGCAAAGGTGAGGATCTAATGTAGGGGCCTTAATAAATAATCATTAGAATAGGGTTGTGGGGCATGTTATCCTATAATGATAATAAGGAGCCTGCAAACTAGTCTTGGTAATTATTTAGGCCCTTTATATTATGGAGTTTATTGGTCGATTTATTTCAGAGCTTGACTTCTTTAAGCCGTAGGCCCTAGACGTTGAAGCCGAAGCCCTAAGCGTTCAGCCGGAAGCCCTAAAACTGCTGAACGCGTGAAACTCTAACGTAGAGGTCTGAATGAGTCGTAATCATATTTCCCTTCTCTTCCCTGGAAAAGTACGGTATGATGTCCTTCAAAGTCCTTTATCAACTAATTCTTTTAACCGGAAAGCCGGGTAGCCATCTTTCCGCAGGCAAACTCAGCTCGGGGTTATCACACAGCCCTTCAAGGACTGCCGCCTCCGCGGATTTTCGGGGTTCAAGCCGCGAGCGCCCGAAACTCCTAAGGGACCTGAGCCGCCCGGCCGAAGCTCCGAGAGTTGCACGATAGCTTAGGCTCTAGGGTATAGGGTTTAGGGTTTAGGGATTGGGGTTTAGGGTATAGGGTTTAGGGTTGAGCGTTAGGGTTTAGGGTTTAGGNNTAGGGTTTAGGGTGTAGGGTATAGCGTATAGGGTTTAGGCTAAGCGTTGGGGTTAGGAGTCAGGCAATCCTAAAAACCCCGCGACAGCGAGATGCCGGTAACGGAGCAAGCACCTTGCTCCTTCCAGCCCCCGTGCCACCCTAGTACAGATCAGTTATCCCCTCTATCAGGAGCCCCAACAGTAGGCACCCCTGCCTTGGAGAACATCATTTCTCTCTATAAGCCCGACAAGAAAACCCTATAAACTATCAAAACCACAGTTCGTACTCGTAAACCTGTAAAAGAAACCCTGCTAGCAGCCTTATAACACCCTTATCGAAACACCCTCTTAAACAGCCCGTACAGCTGTTCTAACCAAACATTTAACCTTGGAGCCTGAACCGTAAACAACTCACAAGTGGCGCTTAAAAGCAAAACAAGCTCTACTACGACCCTTATAGCAGCGCTTCTTTAAACACCCGACAGAGCGGCTTTTAAACTTCAACTAAAACCTCACAAGTGGCCCTCAAAAACAAAAAGGCCCTACTACAACCCTTACAACAGCCCTTCCTTGAATGAACACCCTATAGAGCAGCTTGCATACAACCAAACCCTAAACCCTAAACC